TGAACATGTTCACGGACTACAGACTTCCCGGAGCGTCGGTGCTTCACGTCAGCTATATGTACTTTCACGCGGGTTTTTATAGATCTTTTTGTTTGTCCTATATTATAAGAGAGACCATTTTAACAATCTAGCTTGTACACTCAAGCGTCTTGTAGAAGAATATTACGCTTGATGGATGGTACAAATTGACTAATGTTTTAATGGAAGCTCAAGATGTAGCCAACCTTGTCTGTGACTGCTTTGACATATGGTAGTACTGCAGGCACACGCTCGACTGTGGCCCGCTGCACTCGGTGACTGTGATATAGGCGCGGTACCCGAAGCTTGTTGTCTTGCAATACTTTATTGATGTGCTGAAACTCGGCGGCCAAATGTTTTCTGTCACAGATCCCTTGTGTTCTTCGAAACAAAGATTTACCCACGATATACTAACTGTGACGGATAATGGTGAGATTCACCATTTAAATATCGTTTCGTATGGGTCTTTTCCTATACACAGTGTGATCAATAGTTTTATCAGGATTTTGGATGAATAAAACATCTGTAAAAGCTAAAGAATTATTGGCTCTAACTCCATTGTGAATTGTATTATAGAGTTTATAGAGTTAAGATAGTCTAAAAATGCAGTTACTTTGTCACATGATAAAAAGCTGTAAGGCACCTGAAAGAGCGGAAATTAAAATTAAGTAAATTAAAAAGGCGATAAAATCCGTACAAATAGTTTTGTTCAATAGTAGCGTATTGCTTACAAAAATCACCGTACAATCCATAAACCACAACTACTTTGATAATGCTTAATACGTCATAAAGAACTTCTACAGTATTTTTTTTAGTATCATAGACCTTACTCCTCCTTGTCTTCTAACTATAAAGAATGTGATGAAATTTGCATGAATATGATTAAGCTTACATTACCATACTCTTTAGTTGCCATTGAAGCCATCGTTAATAAACAATTGTTAGAAGGAGTATTTGCCGTTGTTTGGAAGTGCTCATTGATCACACATGTACCTAAGAAACAGAAAATAGACAGCTTTGATGACCTGAGGCCAATAAGTATATTGCCTGCCTTGTCAAAAATAATTGAGAAGTGTGCACAGTCACAAATTACTAGCTATCTTAAAAATAATGTCATTTTTCTAGTTTTCCAATCGGGTTTCCGGCAAAAATTTAACACAGTTACAGCATTATTACACATTGCGGACGATATTCTTAACGCAGCTGATAATGGACAAAGTACCATTCTAGTGCTACTTGTTTTTCTCGAGCTTTCAACTGCGTTAATATACCACTTTTACCAGCAAAATTAAGATTTTGCCGGTATTAGAAATCGTTGGTTTTTCCGAAACGGCATGTTTGTGGTTTCAATCATACTGTCTACGGGCGGATTCAAAAAGTAAAATGCATCAATACTGAAGGTAATATTGATATTTCGGAGCCCCTATCAATTTCTAAAAGCGTTATTCAAGGTTCCATTCTTGGCCCAAAACTCTTCGCCATATACACAACAGACATAAAAAAACATAGTTCAGCACTTCAAATATCACCTTTATGCCGATGACACTCAATTGTACATCCATATGTCACCAATAAACGACAGTATTACAACAGCGGTTACCAGCTTAAATCATCATCATTCATCATCATTACAGCCCTTCACAAGTCAACTGCTGAACATAGACCTCCCCCAAGGTATGCCACAAAGCACGGTCCTGAGCTCTCCAACCTGCATGTCTTACCAGGTCGTCACTCCATCTAGTGGGGGGTCGCCTTACACTTCGCCTACCGGTCCGAGGCTGCCACTCGAGAACCTTTTTTCCCCAACGGTTAAATAATGATCTAAAATTTATAGAGCATTGGTCAAAGTCTCATGGCTTACTTCTGAATCCTAAAAAAAGTACATGTATAATTATGGGTACACGTCATCAGGTTGCATCCGTCAAAAAATTTGACCCAACTGTCATGATCAATGACAAAACTATTCCTAGAGATTATTGCATTCTTAACTTGGGTCTTAATATTGATGAAGGTTTAACGTTTGTACAACATGTACTACAAAAATAGGAAAAGGTTTTGGGTTTGGGTTGGGTTGTTAAAATCCGGCTCCGTCTTTGTAATAACCTTGTCATGTCACATTTGCATTATTGCGACTTGGTATATGGTCTTTGCCTCTCACAGAAAATCATAGGGACAATACAAAGGGTTCAAAATGCGTGTATGCGCTATTGTTTTGCTATACCTAAGACTAACCACATAACTCCTTATCTCCTCAAAAATAATATTTTAAGTATGAGTTACACCAGAAAATTAAAATATGCTTGTTTCATACACTCACTAAATAATTCGCAATGTCCTCATTATTTATATGAAAAATTATCTTCAAAATGTCAACTAACACTTTTGAGACGAAGAAGTAAACTATTATATATACTTCCAACTTATAAGCGTGTTAAAGCAAAAGAATGTTTCAAATACGCTGCCTCCGAAATTTGGAATGATATACCTCCTCCTTTGCAGGCGATCGTAAATACAAATTTATTTAGAAAGAAATGCAAAGTATGGTTACTTGAACAACAAAAGTTGGAGACAGGTATGAAGTATTATATATAACTACAGACTTAATTCTTACAATAGTAATGCTCTTTAACAGTGATGTTCTTAATTCTTACAATAGTTCATGATTCAGCTTAGATTTTCAAAAAATATTTGGGCTAATACCATTGAGGGTCGTTGTAGTTTCTGGTAGGCCCAGAGGCGATTGTCTCCTTTACCTAATTTACATAGCACATAAGTTTGTGGTGATTTTTCTTTGTACATTTTTAAGAGCCAGATACAAATAAAAAGCTTATTGTTATTGTAAAAAAAAAAAAAAAAAAACCCCACCAGGAGAAACTGGCGGACAATGCGGGCAGTATCGAGGAGCACCGCCTTCTGCATTTGCGCCTGAAGCGGTACGTCACGGAGTCCTAGTCGCCTCAGATGATCCTAGAGGCTAACTGGGATTAGCCCATTCGCAGAACGACTACAGGAATAATTTCGGTCGGCAGACCACCCCACATGTCGGTCACCTCGTGAGCCAGGTCCAGATATTTTGTTCATTTATCAGTTTCGGTTTTCACGAGGTTCTCATCATACGAAATGGTAATGTCGACCAAAAATATCCTTGACTGTGCCCGGACCGGTCAGCACAATATCAGGCTTATTCTCAAGAATAGTCCTGTCTGTGATGATGGCTCGGTCCCAGTAGAGCCTAGCGCGGTCATTTTCGAGCACGGCTTCCGGCAAGTACTTGTAATACGGCAATTGCCGGTCCACGAGACCGTATTTCAGAGCGAGCTCTTGCTGTAGAATTCTGGCTACTAGGTTGTGCCTGTGCAGGTACTCAAAGTTAGAAAGCGCAGAATAACCGGAGATGACATGCCTAAGTGAGTCCACGGGATGGCGACAAGCTCGACAGACGTCAACAGTGCCATCCTTTAGGATGTATCTCCGATAGTTGTTGGTCTTAATAATCATGTTATTCCTGTATTGCACAGATAAAACCCTCGGTTTCCCCGAAGAGGTCACCGAAACGTAGCCAGTTGAGGGAGGCGACTGTATCTACGAAGGGCTCAGAGCCCTATAGTACTTCTCGTGGAGCTCCTTCTCTTTCCATACTGCTGGGTCCTACCATTGCTCGTTGGCTAAGGATAGAGCGGTAAGCCCTTTATCACTAGAAATGACGTCCTTATAGAATGGATCATCCGATCTTGCCAGGAAGTAATGACGGAGGCTGCACACCTCGCGATTATGCATGGTGAGCGCGCTCAGGAAGCCACGCCCACCATTCTTTCGCGGCAAGTACACCCTTATTACCGACGATCTCGGATGATGCATTCTATGGGACATTATGGTAGTGCGGACTTCTCTATCCAGGGCGTTAAGTTCAGTCTGAGTCCACCTGAGTATGTCAAAGGTATACATGAGGACAGGCACAACCCAGCTATTATACTGGTATGCGTGTATCTTATTCACACCAGACAAAAGGTTAAGCACTTTGGTCAAGCGTGCATAAAACACGTCGCAAACTGACTGTGTCATACCAGCCTCATCGATACCGATGTTCTGTGACACACCCGGGTATCGGTATGTTTCAGCCTCGGAAAGGGTCCTTAAGTTGACGGGCATAGATAAGTCTATGCCCTCAGAGTTAGTAACCCTTCCCCATTCAACATGGAGTACTGCACACTTATCCGTCCCCAGCTCCATTCCAAAAGATTTGCTAAATTCACAAGTGATGTTTAGCAATTCCACAAGATGGGAGTGACTGGAGGCGAGTAACTTGAGGTCATCCATATAGAAAAGGCGGGTCACTTTTGTACCTCCTTTCCGAAGCCGAAATTCCCTCCCGGAGCCCTCCAGTAAAGTACTGAGAGGGTTCAAAGAGAGGCAGAACCAGATTGGACTCAGACAGTCGCCCTGGAAGATACTCCTTCTTATCCTTATGCGGCTTTCCGCGGCCGTCATCCGCTCACCCAGAAGACAAAGGATCGTACTCCACTACCCCATACCCTGCTCGAAGAAGTCTCTAACTGTACAGACAATCTTGTACAGCTCAAGGACCCTCTTTAGCCATGTATGGGGAACCGAGTCGAACGCCTTTCTGTAGTCTATCCAGACGGCGGAGAAGTTTCGACGGTTGCGTTTACCACTTTGCCAATGACCACGTCAATGAGGAGTGGTTTCTTGGTTCCACGGCCACCGCCCCGAAATCCATTTTGGAAGCGTGACATTACCTGATTTATCTCCAGGCGACGAGTGATTCTCGCGCTCAAAATGGATGTCAGTGTCTTATATATGGTGTGTAGACACCTGATAGGGCGATATTTGCTCGGGTCTGTGGTATCTTTAGGAAACAAGTGAGTGATCCCAGTAGTGAAGAGACTCGGGAGCGACTTCTGGTCGAGAGCCTCTTTAAACTGTCGGGCGAGCACAGCGTGACACACTATGAACCCCTTTAGTCACCCCGGACTTTTCCAGTTCGGGGCCCTACTGACCGCTTCAGCCACGTCTTCCGGCGTTATGGTGATGGGGTCTATAGGCGTAACACTCGCACCCTGGCTCGCCACAACTTCCATCCAAGGGCCCTCGCTGTGGTTTACGGGCTCTGACCACAGGCCACGCCAGAATGCGATAATGTCAGCCTGATCCGGTCCTGAGCCCGCTCCACATAACTCTGGTCGCTCCAATGATTTATAGAACCTCTTCTGATCACTCTCGAAGAAACGATCCTGGTTGAACCGCCTTGACCTCTCGGTAAATCGTCGAATCCGCCTCCCCCAAGCAGCGATTTTTTGCTTCAGGTCATCTATGCGCTCCGTTATTTTCTGCGTGATATCCGGCTGGGACAAACTGATATTTGTCTCAGCAAACGCCATTCTAACGGTGCGCACAATCCTCGATCTATTATTACCTGACCTGAACTAGAAAAACTATCGAATTTGTCGGATTATAGAGTACTGCCTGAGACCCAAAAACAAAGAGTACTTTGTAATCCGACAAATTACCGGTCATATGATAAGGTTTTATATGTTATATATATGTACTACATATAATATAATGAAGTATGATTTGTACTCTGAAGTACAAATCATACTTCATTATGTATGTTAAATTTAGTAAATTAAACAACACAATACAGAGCTTGCGTTTTATTATAAAAATTACGTCATTAATGATATAGAACTTACAAAAAATATGCAAAAACTTAACATAAGGAATACATATGGAAACATAAGAAAATAATTGTGTACAAATGTACATACGAAAATGATCAAAAATTATGAATCAATCAATTAAAGAAACATCAATTAAAGAGCATTATCAAGAAGCAAAAACGTTTTTGAGGAAAGTTATGATCTTTCAACCATTTTCAGAATCAAATTTTTCATACTGAATCAAAACAGTACCGTACGCGACCAGTACGCGTCAAACATAATAGTGGTGGTGCGTACAAGTTATAACTTTGGACCGTGTCGAATTACCAGGGGTCTACTGTATTTCTGAAAAATAATTAATTAGCGGGAGATTAAACCAGTAATTTTATTTTTAAGGTAAGATCAGTTGGCGATGCTTGTCTGGATATTCCTTTTTGGAATATTGGCCGAGTTATTCGACCTTACATGGTTTTAATAATGCAAAAATCATTACGACCACTCCAACTCAGTGCCCCTGGTTTCGATGAAGTATCTGTTCAGACATTTTCTAACGTAAGTTTTATATTTGAGTTGGCTATTTATACTGAGGGAAGCCACATACAAAGTTTTTTTTTCTTGCAGAACATGGCATCAGCTTAATCTTATTTCAACATATTACTACAGACAAACATTTAAAAGGGTAATAAAAGTAATGTAAGTTCAATTCCTAAGTAATAATCTAAGAAGTTAAACATCGCCATGAAGAGAACAAGGTAGACATAATATACAAACACCAACATCCGTTACATAAGTTACAATTTACTTGTTTAGTACAGGATAGTAGTAGTAGTAATAAGTAGTTTTTATTCAATTTGTACGATTTTTAGTAAACCCTAATTAATGCTTTTTTATTTAATTATGCACAAATTATATATATTTACTAACTTTAAAAATAATACCCGACTTTTTATTGTCACCAGATATTCTCATTATTTAAATTCATCGCTAAATTAAGTTCTAAACATAATAAAGTAATAAAAAACTGAAACTTTTTTATTGAGACATACTACCTATAGACATACATATAAAAAGTCCTTATACTAGGTTTATATAATTTAATAACATAAGTATAACGGAGTAACTAAATTTATGAAGGTCAAATTTTTATTAATTTAGATTTTTAGTTTTAAAGCATTACACCGTTTTGTAAAAATAATTGGTGCATGGCCAATAATACATTAAAGTTTACATAGATCAGAGCCTACGTGTTAAATAGAAACATCATCAGCATCATACTAAACATTAGAACCCATCACAAATCTACTGCTAAACATGGGCTTCCTACAAGAAATGTCACGGTTCTGAGTCACCTGCAATCCTGCAAATCCAATATTTTCATTTCGTCAAGAAATGAGAATATTAAGGAATTTTTTAACAAAAATATCTTTATATGTGAGGTTCCTTTATTTAAATATATTATAATTGGCCACCTGCAGGCTGTACATTATAAGTATTTTTGTACTTATATCAAATTTTTTCCTCATCTTTCAATAATTAAAAGCAATACCAAACTAACGTCAGCATTCAAATATGACTAAAACAAAACACTCTTCCAATGTACATTATATTTTTAATTTATCCTACACGAAGACTGAGTTTTTCCCCCATTAACCCTCTGAAGTTAAGCCCATATATAAATAAGCATGTTATGGCCTGATTCCCATAATTCTGTTGCAAATAGGTCAACTCGTCCAGGGAAATCACGTTTGCACAGAATACTTCCCAACCTGAAATTGTAACATAATAATCAAATGCCGCGTGACTAGAACTGGCATTATATTAGTAATAAGGCATTCCATCTTGGTCTCAAGAAGTAACAACGTTTCTGTAATTTCATTCTTTATCAAGGATAAATGTAAGTATATGTTGGTATAGCATGTTACATCTTCTTCTTCCCATCTTACTATCGGGTAGGCTGTGATCATTAATTTGGCATCCTTAGTCCTATAAAATAATCATCATCATCATCATTACAGCCCTTCACAAGTCCACTGCTGAACATAGGCCTCCCCCAAGTAATGCCACAAAGCACGGTCCTGAGCCACCTGCATCCATCGACTTCCTGCATGTCTTACCAGGTCGTCACTCCATCTAGTGGGGGTCGCCCTACACTACGCCTACCGGTACGAGGCTGCCACTCGAGAACCTTTCTTCCCCATCGGTTATCGGTTCTTCGAGCTATATGGCCGGCCCATTGCCACTTCAGCTTACTAATCCGTTGGGCTATGTCGGTCACTCTGGTTTTACTGCGGATATCCTCATTTCTGAGTCTATCACGCAGAGAAACTCCGAGCATAGCCCTCTCCATAGCTCGCTGAGCGACCTTAAGCGTCCTCATACGGCCAGCAGTGAAGGACCACGTCTCAGATCCGTAAGTCATCACTGGCAACACGCACTGGTTGTACAATCTAGTTTTTAGAGATTGAGGTATACCTGACGAAAAGATATGCCGTAATTTCCCGAACGCTGCCCAGCCGAGTTGAATCCGTCGATTGACCTCTCGGTCGAAGTTGGACTTACCTAGTCGGACTATTTGTCCCAGGTAAACGTATTCGTCAACAACTTCGAGCATAGTGCTCCCAACAACTACCGGCATAGGTGTGACATGGACATTGAACATGATCTTTGTTTTGTCCATGTTCATCTTAAGACCTATCCGTTGGGAGGCACTATTGAGGTCATTGAGCATAGTGCTTAAGTCCTCCAGCGATTCTGCCATAAGGACTATATCGTCGGCAAATCGAAGGTGAGTGATGTACTCGCCATTGATGTCAATACCGTATCCTTTCCAGTCCAGTAGCTTGAAAACGTCTTCCAATGCAGCGGTGAAGAGTTTCGGGGATATAACGTCACCCTGTCTTACACCTCTCTGCAGTTGGATAGGTTTCGAGCTCTGGTTCTGTACTCGGATAGCCATCGTAGCCCTACTGTACAAACACTTCAGCACTTCGATATACCGACAGTCAACTTGGCACCGCTGAAGGGACTGTAGCACCGCCCAAATTTCGACGGAATCAAAGGCTTTCTCATAGTCCACATACGCCAGGCAAAGTGGCAGATTGTACTCTTCAGTCTTCTGTACAATCTGCCGCAGGGTATGTATGTGGTCTATGGTACTGAAGCCTTTTCGGAAACCGGCTTGTTCGGGAGGCTGGAAGTCGTCAAGTCTGCGTGCGAGACGATTCGTAATGACTCTCGAAAACAGCACGTAGACGCGGCTCAGAAGGGAAATCGGTCTGTAGTTCTTTAAGAGAGCGTTGTCGCCTTTCTTAAAGAACAAGACCACCGCACTTCTGCTCCACGCCTCTGGAGTAGTGCCACCATGGAGGACGGAATTGAAGAGCTTCTGAAGGACTTCAAGTACCGGTGTTCCACCCGCTTTCAGAAGCTCCGCTGTAATTCCATCCTCGCCTGGGGCCCTGCCGTTTTTAAGGTGCTGGAGAGCCATTCTAATCTCGCTTAGACTGACGTCCGGGATATCATCGGAATAGTGTCGGATAAGACTTGCTCTTGGATCGTTACTCACACTTGCGTGTGGCTCCAACGATGATGTGTACAGCTGCCCATAGAACCTCTCAATCTCACTCAAAATCTCAGGTGTCCCGGAAACGATGTTGCCACACTCAGTCTTCAGCCTTGACAGTTGGCTCTTTCTGGCAGACAGATCTCTGGCAAAGACTTTGGAGCCCTGGTTCCGCTCGATCGCTTCTTTAATACGAGAAGTATTAAAGTTGCGTAAGTCTCGCCGTATGCATTTGGAGATCTGTCTGTTCAGTTGCCTGTATGCTGTCAAATCTGTTGACGATTGCAGCCTCATCTCCCGTCTAACAGCCATGAGATTAAGAGTGTGATCGGAGAGTTTTTGTGTTCTTCTGCGGCGGGTCTTGCAGAACTTAGCTCCGACCGCATGGACAGTTTCCACGAGCTTGTCGTTCATATCGTCCACTGCATTGCAATCTTCTAGGCACTGGAAGCGGTTACGTAACTCGAGCTGAAGGGTTTCGGGATTCTGGATTAGAGCACGAGGGGGACGGAGCGTTGACTTCATTAGACGAGACCTCTCCAACTTAACGTTTAGGTTCAGTGTGCCTCTAACCATTCGGTGATCGCTGCCAGTTTTCACCCTTGCGATCACTGAGACATCACTGAACAGTTGGCGTCTGGTCGTCATAATGAAGTCAATCTCATTTTTTGTCGAACCGTCGGGGCTCGACCAGGTCCACTTCCTGTGGGGCCGCTTCTGGAAGAAAGAGTTCATCATAAAGAGTCCCTCTTTCTCCATAAAGTCGGCCAGCTGCTGGCCCCTTCGGTTCCGTTGCCCTACTCCAAATTTCCCTACCTTCAGCTCACCGCTTTCTCTTGTGCCCAGTTTTGCGTTGAAGTCTCCCATCAACACCGTGTAGTAGGTTTTGGAATAATAAATAAACATTCATAATAAGTTAAAATCAGTTATAATTATACGCGAAAATCCACACATTATATAAATAATACACTGTTGACCCTACGTATATAAATAGACTTTAAATTATTAATATTCATATATTACTAGCTTGCCAGGCAGACGTTGTTCTGCCCTTTTCGACGACTCTTTGTCATGTCCTATTAAAAATTCTTAAATTTGCCAAAAAATGTGGGTCACTTATCGACAAAAAAACTATCCTATCTCTCAAGTTGGACCAAAC